GTGCGCGTGCCTATCGGCCAAGAATGAACTGTGGCGACAATATGTGCTCTAGAGGGTTACCAAAGTCTTCAAATGAAGTGGAAACAATATTGCATCGGAGCGGTGTGCAAAAGGTCACATATGAAAAAAGCTGCAGCTGGGGGGTGTATGAAACTATCAGCCCCCAGCTGTCGATGCGTCGTGGTCCCCCCGCCCAAAACTGCACGGGGTCAGAGTAGGGGACCGTGGGAAAGTCGTAGTTCCTTGCTACGCCACCCGTTTTTGAAAACTCACCTTTTTACTAACACCGTCCTCTCGTCGCGGCCGGGCCAGCTCTCTTGGCTTTTTGCCAAGTCCTGTAGATTGCCGCTTTGGAATACAAGTACAACGCAATTTCTTTATGCGGATAACATTTTAGGTTCTGCAAAATAAGAACTGAAGATGATGACGAGGGCTAGAACTCAAGAGCAACTGTGCTGCATCTGCAAGCCCTCGCAGGCCGCCGCATTCCTACAAAACATCGAAATAAAAACGGCCTAAGCGTCCCACTCGTTAGTTTGAAGTATTTCTATAGCATTAGAGCCGGATTCGAGCCGGATCGCAGAAATGCACACGCGATTTTAATTTATTGCGTTTCCCTAGTTTCTTCAATTTTGTTTTATTTACATCTTCGTTGTTCTTCATTACGAGCCTTTTGTCATCTTCACCTTCTATTTGGACTTTGAAGCATGAGCAATATCACTCAATGTTGGGAAATTGCGTTTTGCCTGTAGTGTTATGTTGCCCTTTCTATTGTCTTGTTCTGTGGAATGCGCGCGCTCTCAGGGATATTGCAGAAGCATCACAGTGTTTTTTTCGCTGGGGGGCTGATAGTCTCATGCACCTTCAGTGTGTTTGAGCGTACCATGTGTCTTTAAAGCAGAAAACCTCGCAGGCGACCCCAAAGTGTCTCGGGGAGCTCTTCGCGGAAGGGGTTACCTCAAAACCGCTTGAACTCTGTTAATAAGTCCCAGCCTAGTGCCTTACACCTCTGCTTTCCCTTCTTCAGAATCTCCACTTTCAAAAAAGTTGTGGGTGTCAAGCTAGATGTACTTCCGGGATTGAATTCGTACAGCAAAATAGCTCGCGAGCTATTGAAAATCAATTGTTGTGTTGCCGTACAAAGCGTGCTCTCGCTGCAGCTTTGTACGGCAATACAACAAATAATATTCAAGTGCTGGCACATGCAGTTTCCGATCTATTCTTTGGTTTTTTGTTCTTATTGCAGTCTATCTTCGATGTTCTGCATTCTTCATTTGTAACAATCTTATTTTTTTATCCTTCGCAGCTTATCCTTGATTGAGCTCGCTTTTTCCTACTCGTTCACTTCCGCAAACCTTCCTTTTTTCTGTGTTTTCGTCTTTCTACTACTGGCGAGTTCATGGCACGTGAAAGCCAGCATTTCAGTTAATACGATGGCAGAAAAACAATAGAGCCTTTGTGCGGGACGAAAGCACCAACAGACGTCAATCGTTCATCTGGTAGAAGATGAGCGGCTCTATGCTTGCATAAAACCTTTTATCTGCTACAGGAGCGGGCAGTGAACAGGCCCAGAACCTCTTTTTTTTGGTGAAGGGTCATACTCGCCAGAAATTCTTAACATCAAAACGCGATGGCGTGCCCTTAACAAGTACTAGTCGACTTGCTGGCTCACGCCGGTGCGCCCCTGTGACACGGCCTGGCTTCGCTGGGCGCGACCTCGTTCCGCATGATTAAGTAACTAACTAACTCTCTAACTAATATCTGGCTTTTCTTTCATCTGAACTGATGGCCAACGACACTGACCTCATACCTGCTATTTTCAACTTTACCATCGTGCATGGGATGGTAGTAAGGAGCTGAGTAGTAACGAGCATTCAAATATTCTGAAGCATACAGGCGCGACGGAGACACGCCCACCGGCATTACCGAGTGATTGATACCATTGAGTTACAGTCGCCGTCAGCCGGCGACTGTAACCAAATGTGCCTACGACGATGGGCGGTAAAAAGTGATTGAAGACTCACTGAAGCCTAGTAAGGATAGGTACCTCGTGCTTGGGGCACGCTCCGCCCAGTGTAGGCGGATCTCAGCACACCAAAAACTCTCCACTTTCGCCATATGTTCTGTTTATCAGGTCGACTAGTATAGAATGTACTTCCGCTCGTTGAGTGTATGGCTGCCGAAGCAGTGAAGCTCAGTAAAAATAGGCAGTTTGTGCTTGAGGGCACGCACAGCTCACAGGGAGCGTGTCTCTACACACCACAGACACTCTCAACTCTTGCCGTAAATTCCTGATCTCCAACGATTTTTCTGGTCTCCATAGTCACATAGGTTCGAATTATAGAATTTAGTAACAAGCACCGGCTTTCTCGAGTACGGCTTGCCTTTAAGGATCTCTTCCCCATTTCATTCACTTGCCCCTTCTGGACTTCGGACTACTTGTCCCCGGGGCATATGCTGCTCTGCAACCAGCCCGTGAATTCCTAACTTTTGCCCCGATACAAGCTTTGCCCACACAGAGGATGCTATATCACTTCAATAGTGAAGCTCTTGCACATCTCTGCTCCCCTCTGCCAGCGTTAGAACGCTCTGGGACCGTTTCACGGCTTTCTAAACTTGTTTTCGCCCGCCTCACCTCCCGCTCCACCCACAATGTGTATGCCTAGCGCTTCTCAAACGATGATTCCTGCGGATCACGATCCACTTTTTTCAGCGTCTGTATTCTGGAACCTATCCACAAATTCTTCAAATGAGTACCTCACGTCGGAGGGTACGTCTCGCCCCAACGCACCGACTCTTCCCAGATAATTGCCTTTGCCATCTCAAAAACACTCTAAACTCTCTCGGGAACCGAGTTCTCAGTTCAGTTCTTCCATCGTCGCACCTTTACTTCTTCTTTTTGTGATCACATATTCTGAAAATGCCTTTTGGAATGATTTTCTCAGGATATTGGCATTGAATTCAAATAATAGCGTCCCGTATGGCTTTTGCGATCGCCACACCGCGCGTGTTTATCTATCTAATAGACTTATCTACATGACTTGAGGATAAAATGATCCTACCATATACAGGGGGGGGGGGCAAAAAAGTCATTTTGGCCGAGTCCCATATCAGCGAAGTTTTCGCAGCCCAGGCAGAGGAAGTGGATACTACCAGGACTGAAGATACCTAAGATCTTTCATTACTCGGTAAGCAGGAGCAGGCTGCCCCGCCCCACACCCCCGCCCCCCCCCCCCCATCACCTTCGTGAACAGCAAAATATGAAGTCATCTCCATCGCAGCCTGACTGGAAAAGGCCTCTGGAATTCACGTCACCTCCAGATAACTGCAAAACTCCTTGAAAGGAGTCACCTATGGATAGCTACCTGGAGACCAGTACCCTTGATCTGCAAGACGTCCAACATCGAGCAGCTCCGAACGTCGCTACGGTCCAGGATATCATCGCCAAGGCGCGGGTTGGTGGTATGGAGCGGAACTTCCTGGAATGTGAAGACCGATATTTTCTTCTTGGACCCCGGACTGAAGGTGAGCGCTGATGGTTACATCGACGAACTCGTGGAGAATATGCTGTCTTCATATCATCTCCTCTACTTTCTTGGAAACGTCGTACTGCTACAGGATTGGGTGCCTCCACACGGAATCGAAGGGCGTTGGAAGGGCGTTGATGTAGTAATTAAAAAAAATCGTAGTTCGGTCCTAGAGCGCTACCAGGCAACGCAAAAGCGTGGATTATTGTCCTCAGTGGTCACCCATTGAGAAGTGCGAGATACTCCGTTGTGGGCGAAGCGTGCATCGAGGGGGGTGGAGCCAAATTTGAAAATTCGCAAAACGGTCCCAGAGCACTCGACACCGGGGCAGAGTGGGCGGAGAGCAGGGGGGGGGGCAAACGAAAAAATCGCTGAAACGGAGCAGTCGAGGCACCAGCAAGCGAAGTTGTGCAAGACCTCGACTATTGAAGTGAGATACCGTCCATTGTGAGCGAGGCGTCGAGGTGGGATTGGCATTCACGAGTTGCTTGCAGAGCAGTATTTGCACCGAAAACATGCGGGCTGAAGTTCACAACCTTGTACCTGAGTGAATTTAGGGATCAGAAGAAGTCGTTGGAGAAAAGAAACATATGTAATAAACATAGGAATGTTAAATGTGTCCGTGGTGTGCAGAGACCCGCCCGCAGGGGGTGCCCTCAAGCACAAGCTGCCTATTTTTACTGAGCTTCAGAGCATCGGCAGCCATACAATCAACAACCTGTCGAAGTAGATACATTCGATACCAGTCGCTTGCCGGCTGGCGCGGACTCGCCTCATCTGTGGTACTGTCCGGATTGCAGGGCGGGCGTGGCTTCGTCTCGCCTGCTTGCTTTCGTGGGTTTAGATACACGACTATTACCCGGCTTTTACTCATCTCTACACTACATCAACGCTCCTTACCACTTTTCCATGCATAATAATAATGTTGAAATTAGCAGATATGATGTTTTTGGTGAAGGAGCGTTGCTCATCTGTTCAGATAAAAGAAAAGCTGGATATCTGTTGGGTATACAAACATGTGGAAGAAAGTGAGTGCGACAAAGCCGAACCCGCTCGGCGAAGCCGGGCCGTATCACAGAAGGAGGCGTGCCGGCGAATCGATCGGTATTCAAAAATCAAGCTATGTCTACGCGCTGCAGTCGCATTGCCTAATCAGCTCGTTGATCGTGTCGAATAAAATTAGCCTTTCCAACAGACGAGCAAGGATGCACAATCCTTACCAATAAACCAAGAAATTTGTTGCACTTACGAGGTATTAGCATTTGATTGTTGCAAAGAAGAGAACAAGCTGTCACGACAACAGCAAGCTATGCAAAACTAACCAGAGTTGCCCCTCAATCTTAATTCGGCTTTAAATCCAACAGAATCATATGCCAACTCAAGCAACTACTTTTACAGATCGCCTTAGCAGCTGCTGGAAAAAATGTGACAAATTTCGACAAAAAGACGCTCAAACTCTTCTCACCTCGATTCATGAGTGTAGTTCCTGAACAAGATGATTTGGTGAGTAATCAAGCACATATACACTGAACTCCTGAGAGCGATAGGCGTGGCTTCGACATGAACGTGGGTAGCGGCTATGCTTTTGGTGATATTTCCATTTCAACACAACTGTGGTCATGTTTTTGCCCAACATTGAACAAGATGATAGTTGTCTCGAAGTGAAACATCCCACGACTAGCGTTCATAGGCCATATTCAGACGCCACGCCCACTCCGTCTCAGGAATGAAAAGTCTACCACAATTTACATATCTATTCAGAAGAAAGCACTAAAGATAAGTACGGGTCACAGTGCCAACAGTACTATTACTGCTAGATGCCTTGTCATTCAGTGAGACTTTGAAGCGGGATGAATCTGAGTATTGCAGTAGAAGAGTTCGGGAATATCTAGAAAAAGACTCGAAATCGTTGTCCTACATTTGGTCCTGTTGCTCTCTTTGCCCTGCATTCTTCGAATCTTTTCTACTCCAGTAAACGTTAAGGGTCTTCCAGAATGATCGTCTTGTTGACCCACATTGTTTCGACTACATTTGATAGCATTGCAATGAGGTAGCAACAAGTGGTGCCCACCTCCGCTTGCCCTTACATCACTGGCTGTTACCTTCCTGAATCGATCACTACCCGTTCCCCACTGGTAAAGCATGGTAGCCCGGGGCGGGCTCATTCCACCCTCCTCACGCCATCCACTATTGCGATGGTACAAACTGTACTCACTCAGTCAAAGGCAAAACCCGCATCTACAGATGTGGGTGTTGGAGCTCAAATACGAACGGAAAGTGTTACCTAACTAATTAAGGGAGAGAGCAAAGCAGAAAAAGCATACGAGCCGCCGAATTGGACTCCATGCCGTTCACAACTTGCACGCAATGAAGAAAAGCATGTTTGAACGAGCTTTCACTCATTATCATAACGATCTTTCCCCTTATCATCTCACTCTCACCATTCGGAATGGAGAAAGCTAGCAGACGGGCTACTGGCTAGCAGTAACCCCTCTGCGATGTTGGGCACTCAGGAAGCACTTCTCAGGTTGTGTATAGCCTAAGGAGTGCTTCCTGAGTGCCCATCATCGATCAGAATTCTGACAAATTTTCACATTTTAATGTAAACAGTCCCTGTATCGGTTACAGGTTTACCAGACAAATTTCAGAGGATGTGACCTTATTTACCGTGAAGCGTTCCTTTGAACCGAAATGAGACGCTGAAACAATCCAGTGTTAAAAGTAAGGTGCCCGACTGGAACAAAAAGCTGTGTATCTTCTCGGCTATTCTGAATGCTGTGAAAGCTTTCTCGTTTACATAATATGACGATTGCCGTTCACTGAAATCCTCCCTTCATTTCCGTTCGTATGGCCTATGAAACGTTTATCGTACGTACAGTATCGACTGCCCAATGCACGGGTTTTCAGTTCAATTTACTCTCGCCTTCACTCTTCTCAATCCACGATGAAGGCAGTGAGGTTGAGAAAAGAATGTCACTTCCGAATTTGGTTAAAGCGTTGCCCAACAAAGATCAGGAAGCTTGGCTCGACTTTATAGTGGAGGCAGCAGGTAAGTCATTGCAGTCAAACATGTTCTACAGCTGTCACTTAACATGGAATGATGAAGAATCACAAGAGTTTGAGGTCTATTTTCTTGAAGGCGTCACTGATGCCGTGGATGGTACGGAGAAGAAACAGAAAGAGATCCGTGACAAAGAATCACGTGCGCCCGATGGAACACCTCTTTACTTCACTAAGAAAAACGTGACCAAGATTCTCGGCGACTCTGAAAAACGAAAGATCGAAACATTCGAGGAGCTGGACAGGCTGTACACAAAACCACAGGTTTGTACATAGTAGCTTTTGCGAAGTTTTATTGACGGATTTTGCAATGGTGCCACATACGTTTGGTCTGTGTATTGTGTTGAATGGACAGAAGGCAGAGTCAAACTTCACGTTGCGAAAGCTTGGCCGATAGCTAGGACACTCGATAGGAATCGTCAAAAAATTTTTTCAGGGCGATGTGGGTATCGGAGCTACTTTCTGCGGTTGCGTTGCGTGTTTTTAGAATAGAGCGCGACATGAATAACTCGGTTCCCGCTCAACTTCCTTCTTCATGGGTTACGTGATATCTTAAACTTTTGTGCATGGATCTGTTACGAAACCCTGCAAAGCAGACGGATAGAGGACACTGGTTGCCAAAGCATCGGAATTTGCAAGAAAATATGTCCTCGTTCTTGGAAACACTATAAATGGATCTGCAAATGACTTCCTGGAAAGCGGGAAGCGAAACCCTTTGTAAGCCAGAACACACTGAAACAGTCGCGTAACTCACACAACCAGAGAACAATGCTTAATAGTGAACGCAACTGCACGGAAAGCAGAAGATGCGGGTTCGAATCCCGCACCTGTGCGTCCGACTTTTGCCCATAACTCAGCATTCTTGTGATAGCTTTCGGATCGCGCGCTGCGGCGTTAAACAGCACTTACTAAACAACAATGCTCAATATTTTTGGGAGTAAGAGTGTTTTATCAATCGATAATGGAGAACAGCTACGAGCGCTTCCTTGGAAAACAGCTACGAGCGCAGAATTACACAAAGTTGGGATCCAAAAAATTGCTCTTTTCAAAAAAACACACTCTGCACTGTGTCTAAACACACACTACTGCTACTAGTGTGTTACTCCCGCTCCATGCAGGTCTTCTACAAGCCTTCTATTTTGCATATAGATCTCTTCAATAACATTTACAACAACAGTGCCTCTCCACTGAATTGCTCACATTTCCATCTAGGAAGCTTAGCAGGCCCTTATTACATCCAGTTCTCTGGTGTTGAAAAAATAATGAAGCAGAGAGGCAGACCAACCTCTTAATGTAGTGCCCCAATACTCGGACATATGAAGCCGCTCGATAATTCTGCTCCAAAAGAAGGAAGTTTGCCGAGTTTTGCACTCACAAAGGACGCTCACTCGACGTACATTTGATGTTCATGTATTTGCTGCTGCAATTTGATCATCGGTATTGTGACTGGACTCCTTGAAAGTATTGATGGCGACTATGACGAGTTTGTTTCTGAACACACAATTGCTGTGAATCTTCCCAGTACTCGGCGGAAACAGCACGTCAACAAGGAATACCGGCTGAGGCAATTAAGATGGTGACGAGGAAATCACACTGGGTAGCGGGTAACGTGCACAACGACAAATACAAGGCACTTCGCAAAGCGCTCAAAAAAAAGATCAAGGAAGAGTGATGTGAATGCTGTAGCCAAAAGAAACTTCGCGAAGCAGCAGAAAAACGAATGAGCTCGAAGGGAGTGGGAAGGGATGTAGTAGGACTCAGACAACATGTGCCGTCGGCTCTCAAGGACGATGCCGCTGCAAGGACAACATATTGTCAAATGATGAACGAAATATGTGAAAGTTCTATAAAGATCTCTACTAATCTAAGGTAATCGTCTAACAACTCATTTGCTGTAAGAGAGGTGATCCCAGAGATTATGTGTGGAGAGGTCGAGCACGCAGTACGGCAAATGAAGAGGGGAAGAGTTCCGGTACCAACTTCGAACAGAGAGATCCCTCCTGCTCTCAGTTGTTCGTCCCAAACGAGTGGTAAGAGGAATCTCTTATTCAAGGCCCACAGCGCTTCGACAGACATTACAGAGAGAATGAAAACAATGCTGCTGATGGAAAAAGAGACCCCGAAAATTGAAGAGACTACAGGCTCATTACTTTGCCGTCTCAAAATTGTGCTGTCCCGGGGCCTCATTGTAATCTGAATTTTAAACGCATAAAAGAGGTGCCAAAATTCATCGCGAAAGACTCAAAAGATTCAAAAGAATCCAACAGTTTTCACTAAAAATTTTATATTGTTTGTACTCCTTCTTCTTCGAATATTTCGGTGCCGAGCACCTTCTTCAGCGATCTGAAATACTAAAGTTCGCCACCTCCACCCGAATCCTGAACCTTGCCTTCACTGGTGCCTCCGTTCTGTACCCTGAAGTGGTCTGCTGCCTCCAGTATCCGCCACTATGCCGCCGCTGCTCCTTGCGATCGCCTCGCCTCTTAGTGGTAACTGTGACCCTAGTCGTTACCCTCTCAAATAGTGAGGATGCACAGTGAGGGATTCTGCAATGATATCACTGACCGCTCTACCATTATCACGTAGTCAGTGAATCAACTGCGGCGCGTCACATAGCTCATCCCTACTATTCATTTTTGGGGAGAGCCTTCGTATTTCCAGTGCTTCCAGTAGCATTCTTTCCACCGGATTTTCTATGGAGCGGTGTAATACTGAAATGGTAAGTGCGGGAGGACCTTCGTGTGCATGCATTTTGGTGCGGTGCTTCGAGAAACTGTTGTCCGGACGAAGCTGGTTTTTGTAGGCCCTTGATGTTCATATAGTCGTTTCTAGAGTGGCCTCTTTGTCTCTCCAATGTACTTTTGCCCGCATCCCTGGCATGCTATCAAAAATACCGTTCCCCTAAGTTGACATATTTTCCTATCATTACAGTATGTGCAGCTTCCTCGTCCACATTTTCTTCATAAGGCCTAGAGTACGTGAGTAGACTTTTAAGATTCGGTGGTGGGCGGAATATGAGACTTAAAGGGAGTGGTGAACCTTTAACTATCCTGTTAACTTTCAGCGCCGAACTCGGATTGAGATATAGCATTACCAAGGAGATCCCATCCGGTGTCGAGTACGGTCTCCATGTGTTGACACGTGTATTGATGTATCCCTTATCCCCGAGAATTCGGTCCACCATTCGGTTGTATCTACTTGTTGCGACCGCTGCGTACAGGTCCTTTCTTTTGTCTTGATCAAGTTGCGAACTATGTTCGCTTTCATATATGACGAGTGGCAACTTCTGGAGTGTAGTAATAAATTTTTCGACGCCGGTTCTTATACCAGTACAGCTGTTTGGTTCCGTGTTCTCTCCTGAATACTAAAGTCAGGATAGAACACGGAACCAAACAGCTGTACTGGGAGACAGACATAAGACAAAAGAAAGGACATGTACGCAGCGGTCGCAACGAGAGATACAATGGTGGACCGAACTCTCGGGGATAATGGATGCATCAATACACGTGTTAACACATGGAGACCGTACTCGACACCGGATGGGATCCCCTTGGTAATGCCATATCTCAATGCGAGTACGGCGCTGAAAGTGAACAGGATACGTCTCTTATTCCGTCCACCACCAAATCTTAAAAGTCTTCTCACGTGCTCTAGGCCTTATGAAGAAAAATGTGGACAAGGAAGCTGCACATATTGTAATGATAGGAAAATTGTCAACTTAGCGGAGCGGTATTTTTGATAGCATGCCAGGGATGTGGGCAAAAGTATATTGGAGAGACAAAGAGGCCAGTCTACAAACGGCTATGAACATCGCAGGGCCTACGCAATCCAGCTTCGTATCCGGACAACAGTCTCTCAAAGCACCGCATCAAAATGCATGCACACGAAGGTCCTCCCGCACTTACCATGTCAGTCTTACACCGCTCCATAGAAAATCCGGTGGAAAGAGTGCTACTGGAAGCACTGGAAATACGAAGGCTCTCCCCAAAAATGAATAGTAAGGATGAGCTATGTGACGCGCTGCAGTTGATTCACGGCCTACGTGATAATGGTAGAGCGGTCAGTGATATCATAGCAGAAGCGCTCACTAGGCATCCTCACTATTTAAGGAGGGTAACGGGAAGGGTCACAGTCACCACTAGAAGGTGAGGCGATCGCAAGGAGCAGCGGCGGCATATTGGCGGATACTGGAGGCAGCAGACCAGGTCAGAGTCCAGAACGGAGGCACCAGTGAAGGCAAGATTCAGGATTCAGGTGGAGGCGGCTAACTTTGGTATTTCAGATAGCGAAGAGGGTGCTAGGCACCGGAATATTAGAAGAAGGAGTAAAACAATATAAAATTTTTTGTGAAAACTTTTGGATTCTTTTGAATTTTTCGAGTCTTTCGCAGTCTTGGCGCTTCTTTTATGTGTTTAACATTCAGTTTGCCGTCTCAGTTATCCTTGATCGTCTTGTCAAAGACCTGTACATGGTAACTATAAGAGAACAAGCAGGACTTCGATGCGGATACTGCACACCTGACCGCTTGCACACTATAAGGCAGGTTGTTGAAAAGTGCAATGAGTCTCAAATACCCTTGTGTATGGCTTTCGTCGATTACAAGAAAGCATCCGATTTGGTTGAAGCAAATGCGCTACTGAAGGCGGTATGCGGATATGACGTCAGTCCGAACCGTCTAGTGAAGGAGCTAAACAGCAAATGTACCACAGGAATCAATCTCTTCAGCAAATGTCATACTGAAATCGGCAAAGGTGCTCGCCAAGACTACCCGATTCGCAATAGCGCTTGTGACCCTTTTTAGTGATCTCAAATGAAGTGACGGCATTGAGTCGAACGCTTAACACACATGCTTTTTGCTGATAACTGCGTTATTCTTACATACTCCGGAGTAAGCTAATGGGCTCATAATACAAGTTCGAGGAAGTTCTTGAATCAGTTTGTCCAGGAAAAAATGGATGTGTAATCAGCTTTTTCCAGAAGCACGAATAAGCATTGCGGGCGAAATGATTTGAGAAGTTGACAATTTATTTACTTGAGACGTCAGCTTAGTTTTACAGGGCAGTGTCGGCGATTTCAGCAGACACAGAACAGCAGCCTGGTCTGCTTTCAGCAGAGTTTCAGCAGTGCTGCGACACAACAACCTGACGATGACTCTAAAAGTATGACTATTTCACTGAACCCGTGCGCTTTTATATGGCGCAGAAAGTTAGCCGACCCCTTAAAATAATGAAAAGAAGCCTGCTATAGCGCAAAATTCAGTGGAGCGCAGATTTTGTAAAGTGTCAACTTGAGATCATGTTCCGAACGCAGAAGTTCGAAATGAGTTATGTGGTCCAGGAACTGTAGAAAAGATAACGAGAAAGGGCCGATCATCTTGCACGATTGAAAGATAATAGGGACCTCGCGGCTACAACGAAGGTAGCGCTTTCCACGCGAAGACAAAAAAAACCCGATGGTAGTGGCCCACAAGCATTTTCACTGCTTTTTCATTGTCAACTCATTCAGTTGTGACCCGTGCAGGTCACATACCACTTCTAGAATTCAGCAGCACATGCTTGGGTTCAACCGGGGAGGGAAGTGAAAGAATGAATTTCATCATATGCCTGGGAACGCAGGTAGATTTTGAGCCATAGTACACACGTCATAAATTATGAATCAGGCACGAGGTCATGGGAACCGGTGACAGGTCAGTTATGAGCACTTCAAAGAACGTATAGATGCACCGAGTTGACGCACTCTTGTTCCAGTCAGAGCTCGCGATTGCTTGAGGATGACACTTGAGGAGGATTTCGAAACATTAACAGATGGAAGGATCTCTTTGTCACTTTGGTCTTGAGTGTTATTTATACTCAGCAGTTCCCTGGCGGAAAGGAGAAAGAGATAGAGAGAGAGAGGGACCTTTCGTAGGTGCGGAAGCACATTTGCTAACTGGAAATGCTATTGCGACAGAGGCATGGGCATTTCGGGCCACACGGAACTGTTACAACAAAACACAAAGGGGAAATCTTCTGAACTGTAGACCTGGAAAAACGTAGGTGCTCTTCAAAACAAAAATAAGGTCTTCTAGATTCCGGCACTGTTCTTGGTTTTACAAGAGGTCACATATGTACGAAAAAATCTATGGCTGTCCGGAGCATGAAATCTCAAAATTGATACTAAAATTCAACTTAGGCGTCACACCGAGGTGCGTCAGGCACAGACGCAGAAAGCTAAGGTTAGATCTTTAGAAAAAAGTACTTCCGGAGTTCTTGAACTATTTTGGGAAGATACCACAAAATATCTCCCCCCCCCGTGCAATTCTGAATGTGCGCCAGCGTTCAAAATTCAAGTGTGCGATTTGATAATATTTCTTTTCTCGGGTTGGGGATCGCACCGAGACCCACTTTCGGAGGGATTCGTAATTGACGCGATGGCGTGTCCTGCTCGTATTGGTTGGTGTCAGGAATGAACAGGGAGCAGCGCCCACATTCGCTGGAACAGAAGACACTGTCACTTCCTTTGGCCCTGGAGCGCGTTAGCTCTGTCGAATTGGTCTAGGAGAAATTCATGAAAACAGCGTTGCATAAACGAAGCTCTACCGAAGCTATGAGTTACAAGTTCGCCTAAATACAACTGAAAAAGCCCAACATTCTTCACTATTGGGCTAATACTACACCAAAAACTCGATTTTCAGCCAATGCTGTGTCTATAGGACTCATTCGTGCCCTAAGCACAATCACCAATATAACGAATATACATTTTTTGCGCCCTCACCTTTTCCACCGAAATCGAAGATTCTCCAATATTTTTTTTCCATTTTATACAAACGCATATATGCGCCCTTGCTTCACTGCGCGAACTTGGGAATGCCAATAAAGAAGGGTAGAGTAGTAAAGGCACATAATAATAATTATAATCAAGCATACCGGCTCCTAATAGTCGTAGCTTAATATGCGATTTGCAATTTAACATCAACACCAATCAAATAGCGGAGAGAGTTTGTGACAGCAGCCAAGTGGTGCTTGCAGGATGTCACGTGATCCGTCATAAGCGTCTTGGATTTCGCGTACAAGCGATCCCGAAGTTGAAAAAAAGAGGTGACCCCTCTCCCTCCTTCCTCATTCTTCAGATCCTCCAAGTAATAGCGTTGGGCTGCGCTCGGTCGCATACCAACGACCGCTACTATTGCTGAATGCGATCGCCATGATCGCGGCAATCGCTGTTGTCGCCGCCAAGTATTAACGCCGATGTGGGCAGGTTGGCTGCTTAGATTGGAAGGGTAATTTCATTGGTAGAGGTGCCAGTCCGTGTAGTAAGTTAGAAGTAATGTTATCTAAGTAATTTAACGAGTTGTTAGGCCTGAGCAAGGTGAAAAGCAGCGAAATATAGCACATGAATGAATTTGAATTTTCTAAGTTTTTATACCTTTGGAGCCTTCCTAGCATTTGTCATAAAAAAGTATGGAGCTTCACTTTGTTGCTGACAACTCGATACCATGTGGCTCACACCAACACACTCAGATATAATGAGATACATTGCGTTGCACAGAAGTTATTCAACTTGGTTCTGAAGTACATTGCAGAAAGATGACTTGGACAAGTACGGTTATGCGTTCTTGACACCGAAGCAGTTGGATGTTGTCTATGGGCCGAACTCACCGTACAATGACTCGCACTGGCATCAAAAACTTAACAAGCAACTTCGTATGCATGATGATCCTCATCATCTAGTTGAAAAAGAGTACGTTTGATGTTAATTCTGCAGCAAAATGAAACCTCAAAAATCATTTATTTGTGGGGTTGGGGTCATCTGAATTTTTCAAAATTTGTATGAAGTGTCGCAGCTAAAACATGCTCGGAAAAACATCATGAAATAGAGCTCGACAACACAGCGTGAAGCCATCAGTTCCTTGTCCTCTACCTACTTTCACTAACAGCGTGAACGCGATGCTGTTCAAGAAAATCGGGATTGATCGCCCGCAGACAGTGCAGGAGGAAGTGAGAAGTTGATGCCGCAAAGCGGAATGGTATAGCTGACTAACCCACTGAGTTGCAAATGACTTCCTTACAGGTCGAGCCTTCCTTATACCAATACGTCGCCATCCCTCTTTCGCGGCTCGACAGCGACTGAGGTGGCTTTGCAGTCGTAAGATGCCAAAGTAACTCCACCCATAGATGATCATATCCCTCTATAAACCACTAACTTCGATGAAGAGTAGTCTTCTATTCCGCACGTGCCTTTCCGAATCAATATCCTTCTATTCCGCACGATAGATGATCATATCCCTCTATAAACCACTAACTTCGATGAAGAGTAGTATTCATTTCCCCACTGCCTTTCCGAATCAATTCAAGGCCAACCTTGTCTCTGGTTCGTCGCACTCAACAGGATTATCATACTCGTTTGGCCAGCAAATGTCTGACTTCCGTGGCACGGATCAGAGAGGGTAAAGCAATTTCGACGTACCAAATTTGCTGAGATCTTGTTCGAAGAAGTTGCTCAACACCTCAAAACATCATCCTTTAACACAACACAAACAGAACAAAACACAGAACATCATCCTCTAATTACCCCCGGTACTTGGAGTAACCATCGCAAATACCAGGCTGTGGCACTGTCTGATGCACTTTCGCTTCAGGCGGATATGATCCTCATGAACGGTAGGACAGACCACTTCATGCAACGAAGCTTTGGCCCAATTGTTTTGAAATTTTTTATCAGGAATGGCCTCAGTATCGAATAGTGCACAGTGAAGGACATGTCGTGTCGAGGGAAAATTACTCTTTTGATCCAACATGTATTTAACCTGGATGAAATAATTTTAAATTTAGTATTCGTGCTCTGGCGGAAGCAAGGAAGTTCAGTGTACGCCAAAAGGATGTTGTGTTAGCGCCACAGGTCTTGGCGAACCTCGTGCTTGCATCAGGGGCTTTATCCACAATGTGGGTCGTGCTCTCACCGATAGTGCTCTCACCTATTGTTCTTTCCCCAGCAGTTCTTGGTCCTATCATTCTCTCGCCTTGGTTATTTGTTCCGCTAATACTCTCACCTCGTGTTTTGTCGCCGTTGATCCTTACACCACTTGCGTTCGCCCCGATCGTGCTCTCACCATTGGTGCTCCATCCATTAATTCTGTCTCCCGGTGTTTTCGTTCCAATCGTACTTTCTCCTTTGGTCCTGTCGCCACTGATTCTCTCACCACAGGCTTTCACTCCTATTGTTCTGTCGCCTCTTGCGCTTAATCCTCTCATTTATAATCCAATGGCTGCATCACCGTTGGTTTTATCACCATTCTTCCTTTCGCCGCTCGTTTGTTCTCCACAGTACCTCTTCGGTGTAATAATGTCTCCCTATGGAATGTCTCCTCTTATCCAATCCAAGCTTATCGAGTCGGAAGTCATTCTTTCTCCTAGTTGGCTTTCCTAAAGTCACGCAAAAACAGAAATAGCTTGTTTTGTGAATTCCTCACACTGTGGGGTGACAAAGAGGGGACTGCCTCATTTTGAAGTTTGTTACACAGAATTGTTTGCTGTGTCGGTTATAGCCTTTTGTTATTAAAAAAACCCTAATTGTGAGAATCCTTTACCATGAGTCCCCTTCGCATCGTATACCTTTGTCCATTTATCACATTTATTGTGAACTGTGCAATGTCATCATGGTGCAACTATTCCGCTGGTTGATACTGTGAGAGTCTTTCATTTTCTTTCTCGCAAGAGTTACTTTCGATGTGTCTTTCTGTTTCCCTTACGTGTCTGTATATATTTCCAATGAAAACTGAATGGAGAGGCTTTGTAGTAAATGTCTGAATAAATTTTCAAACTGTATGTGCTCATCGCAACAGCCCTTCCCTCGCTTTTCCGGCAGCTCCAGCCACCTGCTCAAGACAAGGGAGGGGGCTTATGGGGGATTCGGAAGTTCTCACGTCAAGAAATAATCTTGAAGTAAGTGGTCTCTAGAAAAAGCGTTGTACTTTCGAAAACCGAAAATTTGTTATCACCGATATCAGTCAGGGCGTGTCAGCGTGGCACTGGCGTTGATTTACCAACCAGTTTTTTATTCGTCGCTGCAGCTTCGGGCAATCACTGCTAGCGTTCACTGTCGTCCACCAGCGTCTGCCAAAGACCAGGAGTACGGTACTGTGTGGCAGTACGGTGCGGTTGCACACGCCACAATTTCATTACGCCTAATCCAGCTTGTGCTCCCCATACTCTGTACTCTTAGCCGCTTGTGGAGGCAGGTGGACGCTGGTAGACATTAGATTGGTACTAACGAAAGACTAATTAAGCGTGCAGCCCTTATAAGCCGCGTTCATACTTTGCAGCAGCTTCCACCAGCGACTACTAGCGTTCATCAGCGACCATCAGCGTTTCGAGGTCCGTCAAAGCCCGCGGTTAAGCAAGTAAAGATAATGATGAAGCTAACTGCAGCGACACCAGAGTCCACCGGCGTCCACCAACGACTAGGAAAAGAGGGTATCAGAAAGTAGGAGGGCAGACTGCTGGTAGAGTATAGGGGAGCAGGAGGCCTGATTAGGCGCAGAATTGCGGCATGTGCAACCGCACCGCACTACTATGCAGTATTGCACTCCTAGTCACTGGCAGACGCTGCTGGACGCCAGTACACGCCACTATTGACCACTGAAGCCGCAACGGCCAGTGAAAAACTTGTGGCGAAACCAAAATGCGCGCCGCGCTGACACACTCCGACCGATTCCGGTGACCACGACACTGTTTTTCCCATTTTTCAGCTGTTTGAGAGATCAAAAGCTGCTTGGAACACAGAATATCCTCGGTCTTGGGAAGGTACAGCAAGGGTACAACGATACAATCCAGCGTCAACCAGCGTCCACCATCGTTCACCTGCAGTAGAAGTAAAGAGTATGGGAAGTAGGAGGGCAGCAGACTACTGGTAGAGTATGGGAAAGCAGGGGAGCACACAAATGGATTAGGCGCAGTCAAATTGCGACGTGTGCAGTCCTACTACTGATAATACTTTACTGCTATTCGCTGGTGGGCGTGGTAGACGCTGGTAGACCTTGGATCGATGTCCATGTTTTCCTAATCCCGCGAGCTGCCGACGGTTGCCGACTGACGCTGTGGACGCTGGTGGATGCGGGTAAACTCTAATTCGCTAGAACGTTTTCAATACTTTCCTAGTTGCTGACGCTGACGGACGCTCGGCATGCTGATGGTCGCTGGTGGACACTGGGTGTTCGCTGGTGGCCACTGGTAAGAGTATCAACGCAGCTATACGACTCTCTCCTAAGTGAGCGTCATGTGTGTGAAACTATCACTTTCCATTTCATTCATCACTTTCATTTTTCCGTTCTATAGTGTTATAGCCTATTGGAGAGTAGTGCACGGCTTCCGAATATGGTCTGAGAGCAAAACTCGCTTTGCATATCAACGATCATAGAAAAAGATCGCCGTATCTCACCATGACTTATGGTGCATGAATATTATTTAGTACCCAGAGCTGGAGAAACGGTCACTGGTGAGGGCTGTTTTAAGCCTAGACTTTGCTACAAACTGGCAGCTGTGGCGCAATGGTTCAACTATCCTTAAAATAGCCACATGAGCTGAGAAAGTCAGTCTGAACCTAGGTATCCGGGCGCCGTGAAAATGTTCTGCGCTCCAGGAGTAGCGAGTGTATCCGTATGACATTACAGAAATTTTGGAGCAGACAGATGTGCACGACTGTAACAACGTCGCTCTTCACCTGAGTGGACAGCAAACTGATGTTCGATGGTCGAAAAATGACTGCACTATAGGAGTGAAACGCAAAACGTCTAACAGGTGCTCCGTGGCTAGGGCTAACGAGCCTGGTTCAAGAACCTGGGTCTTGTTCTTAAGTGAAGCCCCGATTTTATAGAACTGGCTTGACATGCTGTCTTGGGAAATGCTTAAAGGCACTTGGCACGATAATTTCCTACTTAGCCCAAAATGCTAGTAGGGCGCTGCAAAGTGGGGGAAATGGCGAAAGAACGGAGTGAAACGGTCAAAATCCGGCGAAGAAAAAGACTCCGTTCTCAGTGACTTGTAAATCGATTTCGGACGAGTTTCCCGTACGCACCTGCCAATCCCCGGTACCGAAGGTACGGCTGCATATGTGTACCCATGTATGCATGCAGCATCACGGCCGCTTCATACCTATCCCTTTGCTTCATAATTTGCTTAGCAAATGAATGAATACCATCGTCAGAAACGGTCGTCCATTTGTGGGCGGGCGGGCAAGGAAGGCGTTTGGGACGTAAAGTTGTTGCTCAATAGGGCGTTATAGAGGTACCCCCCTTGGAAAAGGCAGTGCCTGTCCGAGGTCACGGAATTCTGTAAAGCCAGTTGCACAAATCCTAAACACCTGTATAGCGTTTATCGTGCAACTGTCCCCCTTTAATCACAAGCACGCAGCGAGAAGCCGATCGTAGCTGGACACGCGCTGGAGGCAGCACGAACTTTGGGCAACTACCCCTTTAACTGCTCAACAATGGCGAATTGAGTCCAGTTTTGGACCGACTTTTGTTCTCCTGGACAGATTTGGCACAAATGTTGTCTTCTGAGGTACTTTGACGCTCCTGAATCTGAATATGACATTCCGCAGTAGTCGCACCTTCATGGCGCCTGCGCACAGGCGCCGGTGATCTCAGGTTATTTTGGCGCAACAGCAACTGTAGCGCGGCGCAGGAGTTTTGCAGCCGAGCGGATGTGATATTCTCATCACGGGTCAAACCCCCTACCCTCGGAAGCAAGGTTTTCAGCGTGTTTTGTGATTTCGACTATTTTGGCGACCGAAGGTTTCTGTTAAGGCGGGATGCGATATTCGTGTTCAGCAAGTCGAACTACCCCTGGGGCCATGTTTTCAGCAAATTCTGCCCACGGAGTAAAAAGTCGGTCAGGAACTGGCCTGATTTCGGATGACTGGGGCAGTAAACGGTAAATAGTGCCCGAATTTGTAACAGAAACAGCTCAGCGTAGCCATTCTGCGGAGCTGTGCTTGCCGTTTCATCACGAAAAGCAAATGTCATTTTCTAGAAGAACCAGACTGAAGCAAGATAAAACGATTAGCGTATAGCGTTGAAACCAACCTCTTCAATTCACTGATCGCATGCTTCACTCATTCTGCAACAAAATCATCCAGACTCTCCGAGCAAATGAGCGCACATAGATCACTCTACAAGTGATTGTACTGTCAACCGGACAGTCATCGCCTAGAAAGGAAAAATAAAAAGACAAGAGTGTTGAAAATCTTATACCTATGATCCCACAAATTAATACTACTCCAAGTACAATTATAATCGCACCATGTGTTCTACACGACAATTCATACTTCCCTACTTTATACGGTGTTCAGATGGCGGGCTTGGAAAAAGTAGTTGTCCACGAGCACAGATGATGTATCACGCTTGAAGCCCAAAAATACATGATGCTGACGCGACATGCTCATTACTGGTATATTCCACAATCCCCAATCGTCCGATACCACTCCCCCCTTTCCACTTCTAGGGGCCAGGATACATGAAATTCCGGTGTGAGTACACCCCCTCCCCCTCGAAGAGGGTCCGGTTGCGACTCCCCCCCTCCTGCTCTAACTGACAGCCATAAAATTGTTCATACGAAACGGCTTCCTAAAATGGAATCAGGAATCCTGCAGTGCGACCTTTGCTCCAAAATTGTAGGCAATATGAGGCTTTTGTTCAGCCTCGCATAATGAGGCTGAACAACAGACTCACTTTGCCAACAATTTTATTTTGGGGTTCAAAACTAAAAAGTCGTCGTTTGGCAAGGGGTATGAGAGAAGCTTATAACAAGGTCCATTATTAAGACAGCAAACAATGGTGACCATTAATAAGCAAAACTGATGAAAAGAAATCCAAAGTTAGTGTGTCAGGCCCCAGGCCTCCCCGTTGGTGATAACGTGAGGGCTCCCCGCGGCGCACCCTCACCTAGAAAACAAAGTAAAGTTTTGTGCCTCTTTCGGTAGTAACAAATCGTTGTATGTTGCACTGGTCTTCCGGCGTGGTTCAACTTTGACCCATTGGTCGAGCTATTTTTGAATAGTTATTTACATTTCGCTGAAAAATGCACTGTGACGGTTAGGCGTATTTTGCACAGTCTACCTCGCCTTAGGGAGCTCTACTTCACCTAAGGGAAGAGTGCCTGGCGAGGCCAGCCAAGCTCGGCGAGCGGGTCGTGACGGAAGGAGGAGCACACTCCAGGTGATCTGACTGGTGATATATGAATGTGACAATTGTTAGTATTTTGTTTTGTAGAGGAAGGAACAGTCTGGATTCTTCTAGAAAATGACTAGAGAAGGACTAGAGAAGGACAAGGAAAATTCTAACAGATTATCGAAGGCAATAATAGGTATTCGCTCCTCATAGTAATAATAACGCTCCATAAATTTCCAACTTAGTCATGCGAAAATTCACC